TGAGAGAGAGAGAGAGAGAGAGAGAGAGAGTGTGTGTGTGTGTTTGTGTGTGTGTGTGTGTGTGTGTGTGTGCGCGTGTGTGTGTGCACATGTGTGCTTTCTCACATTTTTGGGCATATTTTCTCGCTAAGATTCTTTTATTGTATCCCTCATGTTCTCCTATAATTCTTGTAAGGACCGATGCCAGTCTGGAACATAAGATAACCACCAGCGAGATGAGATGTCTAAGGAGAGCCGCCATCAAAACCAGACGGGACATGGTCAGAAATAACAGTGTCAGAGAAACGATGGGAACAACACCCGTCCTCCACTACATTCAGAAGCAAACAGTCAGGTGGTTTGGACATCAGACATGAATCACACCTTATAAGCCTGCCAGAAAAGCGTACTACAAAAGAATATCAGGGTACAAGGTAAGAGGAAGACCAAGAAAGACATACACAGAGTGGGAGTAGGATACCCTGAGGACACACAACATCCCATCCAGCCAAGCCACCTAGCTTGCTAGAGACAGAAAGCCCTTTCTCACTTCGACTCTCAAGAGCTACAAGAGGAAGGATAAAAGAAAAGAAGAAAGAATTCTTCAGATAAGTAATGTGTTCTGGGGCCTGGAATTTATTGTTTGTGTCAAACGCACCCCCTCCCCCACACACCCAGTACTTACATCGTATCCACTCAAAGCGGTCAAAAACACTCCCTGGGGAGACCCCAGCCTTTGCTTAGACTTGATGTCAGGGAGGCGTAGCTGATCCTTGTCTGTCTCGTCCTTCAACCGACTGCGAGCTCTTCTGTTTCGCGAGGACAGAGACACCGAGTCTCCCGTTTTTCCGTGACTCCGGGAAGTAACAATATTCCTTCGACTTCGTCGCACTGAAAGACAAACAAAGAAAGAAACAAACAAAACTTGTTATATTGTTCAGAGAATAATTAATTTACAAATAAACATGTTAAACAAAAGCATATGGTTGCTTTTAAGTTCAAGGGGGCAATCCCGAAAAAAGCTTTTTTGAGAAAATCGATGGGTAAAGTTTTTGGACCCTTGCTCAGTTTCTTTAAAAGACAAGGAGAGTTTTCTCTATAACCAAACAAATATACACACCAATGAAACCAGAATTCTGCTATAGGTAGGGCAATGGCCACTTTTAGTGTAGGTCAAGATTTCTGGAACCGTCCGAAATCTGGGTTAGCCCGCTTGTCCTTAAAAGCGACCAAATGGTCTTACGAATCCTCGAGGGCCCGTTCTTGAAGTTTGCTTGTTGGTGGAGTTTTCAAGACTCAAGTTTTCAAGATCCAGGTTTTCAAGATTCAGGTTTTCAAGATCCAGGTTTTCAAGATTCAGGTTTTCAACAAGATTCAGGTTTTAAAGTTCTCCCAACAGAACACGACCCGCCCTGTTCACCTGGGAAAGGCTACTGTTTTGTTGCTTTTTGCTTGTACTTTTTCGATTTAGCGCCGCCAGTCTAGAAAAAAAAGACAATTCCAGTGGCAGACAGTGTACAACTCGGTATCGAAGTCGGTTTCCCAGACCAGACTTTGGGTTCTCACAGCGCACGTATCTATTATTTGGGATGACCTGAACCACAAAGTATACGTCCTGCAAGAGTCCGTTTTACGAATCTGACACACACACACACACA